ATTAGAGAAGAGTATAAAAGTACTAAGGGACTAACATGCAACACAATGAGGTCAAGAAAAGAGGATTTCAAAGAGAAAGAAACATGACAAATGAAAGAGAGAAATACCATAGGAGTGAGCAAATACAGGCACTGAATGAAGAATGTGTTGTAATAATTATGGAGTAGCATACCAGGACGTTTGTTATAGAACTGAGAACTACAATAAGATACTGGCCAACTTGGGAGGCTGAGGCAGGAGGATTGTGAGTTCAAAGTCAGATTCAGCAACTTAGCAAGGCCCTAAGCAACTCAGTGAAACACTGTCTCTAAATTAAATACAAAAAGGGATGGGAACATGGCTCAGTGGCTGAATGCCCCAGGGTTCAATCCCTGGTACCAAAAAAAAAAAAAAAGGTATTGGCACACAGGTAAAGCCCACCAAATACAAAATTATTGACAACTAATAGGAACTGTTAGAAGAGAATGCTGTTCCAGTTAGAATCTTCAAAACAAACTCAAGGCAATATCATGATGGTATTGACTGAATGTTTCCATCCCCTTGAATCTGTATGTGGCAATCCTAACCCCAATGTGATGGTATTTGGAGGTGGTATCTTTGGTTATTCGGATTAAATCATTTGTGAATGAGATAAGTGCCCTTATAAAAAAAGGCTCCCGAGAGACACCTTCCCTCCTGCCATGTGAGGATGCACTGAAAAGATGACCACCTAAAAACCAGGAAGCAGGCTCTCACTAGATGCCCAAAATGTCAGAACACTGATCTTGGACTTTTCCCTCCAGAACTGTGAGACGTAACTGTTATTTATAAGCCTCATCTATGGTATTCTGTTTTAGCAGCCCAAGTAGATTAAGACAAAAAATTGGTACTAAGGATCAAGATTAAAATTGGTACTAAGGATCAAGATTAAAGGTGGTTAAGAGGCAGAAGTGAGTTTCAAGCCAAGTACTGTCCAATTCCAAGGCCTGGCCATATGCTCACCATTTAGTATTCTGCGGTGTGACCTGTCTGATCAAGGGTCTGAGGAAGAATAGGACTCCAGGGTACAGAGAATGTAATTCTTGGTGTCTGTCAATCATGTTGGTAATGGCAAATATCTGGCACTCATGTTTAGCAAGCACTGCCATTAGAGTTAAATAGGTTTTAATAGTTAAATGTGTTTGTGTGTGCTGCCCTGTTACATGGACTTTAAAGATAATGCTCCAATGTTTGTGACTTGAGCAATAACACATGAGCTAGGAAAATGTCCTTTGCTATGCGACCCAATGATTCCTATTCCCATTATTACTCACTTTTTTGTGTCAAATTGTTGAATGTAAATATGTTTGTGGATCTGGCCCCCAAACAGGCCAGATAATGTGAGCCACAGCCCAGGGCTAAGTTTCAAAAGACATCTTGGGGCTGGACTTCCTTGGGAAGCCAACTGTGATCCAGCCTTACCCTTGCTGCCGTCTCCTCTAGCTCAGCCTTCTCCCTGGGAATTGGTATCACTCCAACCCAGCAAGCAATAGGTGCAGGCTCAAGCACCGACAGTCTCTGTCCCAGAATTCCCTACCTGCCAGTGCTCCCTCTGCCATCTGGGCAGCTTTGGTCCACAGGCTCTTCCAATCATCCCTACAGTCCTTCCCTAGTCTACTTGGGCCCTCACAATTATATTCCTTCTCTGGATATTATGTCCCAATATCTTCATGGCCCTATTTCTTCCAGACATGTGAAAGAAAGAAGTCAAAGTGGAACAAAAACGAAAACCAACTAATTAGCCAACCAACTAAAACAAACAAAATTTAAAAAGCTGTATACTTTCAGCAACTTAGTGAGACCCTGTCTCAAAATAAAAAATTAAAAGGGCTGGGGATGTGGCTCTGTGGTTAAGTGACCCTGGGATTAATCCCCAGTACAAAAACAAAACCGTATACTTTTATGTATGTAAGCAGCTAGCCTAACACCATGGGACAGTCTTACAGAAAATAACCTCTCCCACCACTCTGTCCCCAAGGGTAACCTGCTTTAGTTTTCTTCAGAGCACCTTACTGAGAGACCTGATACATCATACATCTGTTTATGGTTTCTTGTGCTTCCCCACCCTCTACACATTGTAAATCCTAAGGTGAACAGAGACTTTTATCTCCAACACCTGAAATAGCAATGTGAGGCCAGAATACATCAAACCAGACTGGAACAGCACCTGCCCCTCCCTTTTCTGCGGTTAATTTTCAGGGTCACCCTGAGACTTACTTTAACCTCAGTGAACTTGCCATACAGAGGTGGGAAGAGACAAAAGCCTCAGGCTGGACCCAGGCCCTTTGAGGGTCTACACTGTCCTACTCCCCAGCCTTCAGCATGTACAAAGGGAAACCTCACACTTTCCATCCTATTTCACATTAGACTTCAGAGTCTCATATTGATATTCCCACATTGGTTTCACATTAGTTGATCTAGCACTTAGTGGGACTCTAAGCTATAGGAACATAAGTAGAAACTAATTTTGGATAGATAAGGAAATAAGAATAATGATAGCTAATATTTGCTGTTTGTTATGTGCAAAACATCATGCTAACTCCTTTGAATTTGTTATTTTTTTACCCAAACAACAAATCCATGAGACATGCTCTATCATCAGCCCATTTTGCAGTTCGGAAGACTGCAGTTAAGTCCTGTCCCTGCAGTCACATGGCTTGTCAAGGAGTCCAGATCTGTTGATGTGAAAGACAGTACCTGAGGAAGAAAGGAGGGAAAATGAGAGAAGGCAAATGACATGGTATTTGATGTAGTAAATGGTAGTATTTATGTTTTGTTGAATCCCCAAAGTTATATCTTAAGCTATAATTCATATTTTAAAAACTATCATTTCAATGTGAAAATATGAGTTCAGAGCTAAAGAATTTCTGAGTGACAATAGTGAAATTGTCGTTAACTTCTGCTGTTCAACAGAAGTGCGTGCTCACTTCAGTATCACATGTACTAAAATTGGAACCATACAGAGAAGATCCGCTTGGCCCTTGTGCAAACATGACACCCAAATTTGGGAAGTGTTCCATATTTAAAATAATAAAATAAAACAGAAGTGCTTAACTTTGCAAGTGTACAGCACAACACCTGACCATCAGACTCAGGGCAAGAATTAATGGCCATTCTGTCCTTGTCACCACTCATGTCTCTAGCATGGCTTCCAGGAATCTTCAGCCTTCTGTTTCCTTGGGCAGCTGTGTTGCTCTGGCTCTGGTTCTTTATTTTGAAAAGTGCAATCTAGTAATAACCAAAAGTTGTCTGTAAATACAAATCCAATTTCTTACTGAATTGTGTTCTCACTAACAGGAGCAAAAGCTCCTGCTACAGAGGTCACTCCTGAGCTTAGCCTGCTGGAGCCCTGGTGCCTGGGCCTCCAAGGTCCTGAGGGCAGGCTCACTAAGGGTCAGTAAGGAGAAGCTCACTGGAGGAGGAACACAGAATGGAGGAAAGCCCAAGACAAAACCAACTACCTGGCACTTTGCCCAGGGCTCTTCGTGATCATGAGCCTGAAGTCAGTTTTCTTCTGGGAGAAGCCTCACTCCACTGAGCAGCTGGACCTGATGAGATGAAGGAATGTCACAATTTTTCTATGCAGTCTAGTGTGGGTGTGGCTCTTAGTACAGTTCAGGACAGGGGTATTCTTGTCTGGTTTTTAACAGTGCCTCTCTTGACCTTTATATTTCTCACCTAGAGTGTTGTTACTTTGAAAATGACATGTTGTGTAGACAGTGATAAGGGAAGTGAGTTCTGGCTTATTTCACAGCCATGGAAAGTCATCTCTGACTTTCTGTGGCCTCATTGCTAGCTACATCTATAAATGTGGAGTTGACAGTTTGAAATTCTGTGTATTTGGTAATTACATCCAAGACAAACAAATGTTCAACCAATAATTAGAAAGTGTATAAAAAGAGATAAACATGCACTTCAATGATAAGTTACATGAAAGGAATCTAGAATATAAGAAAATCTTTGTTTCCTGTATTTTAATAACGCATTGTCACAACATCTCCACCCCCTCCCGCAAGGCCTACATGTTCAGTACAGACACAATTTTTCTTTTTGACTTATTTTCCATCTAAGGGTGGCTGAGTCTGAGGGTGGGGAACCTGCAGACAAAGAGGGCTGACTGTATTACCATTCTCTTACTGACTTCCAAGAATTTCATTTGTATGTGGGTATCTATCTTATTTATTGAAACAGTCCTACTAACAAGCATACGGGTTGTTTACTGTTTGGAATTATTACAGAACAAAGCTTTGATGAGCATCTTTGCTCACTTGTACAAATCCAACAGGAATATAAATTCTTAGAAGTAGAGTAGCTTGGTCCAAGTTTATGGTCTTTTTTTCATTTTAAAAGTGTTGTATTCTGTAAATACAAATCCAATTTGTATCCAAATCAGGTAGGTTATTTAGGTGAGTTTTGTTCATATTTGTAAACAATAGACACTAGTAATGTTTTCAAAGGATCGAATGAGATAGAAGGATGTAAGAACACAGTATATAGCAAATAGGCTGTTAATGAATATTGGTCGCCTACTTTCCTTTTCTTTTACTTAGACGGCTATTTATGAATATTTCCCTAGATATAGCTTTGACAATGAGCTCAACAGTTAATTCCAATATTCGTAGCCAATCTTGAAGCACCACTTAAACACCTGTTATTGACCAACTAGCAAACTCTAAAGGTCAAATATGTTCTTGAGAAGACACAACCTTTGACATTAACTCTAAACGCCATTTTCCTAGGAACACAGGTGATTTATTTGATTATTGCCTCTTTTAATAAGGCCCTAGTAAAAACAAAATGAGCTGGGCTATTATACAAGCTGGAGTACCCTTTCCAGTCCTGTCTCTGTACTTGAGTGAAAATCGTGCTGGCCCATGTCATTTGTTCCATAAGCCCCATATAATCCAACTCTGGAAAACCACTCTGACACCTCCGGAGCAATCTTTGCTCCCGGGGGAACCGTCGCCCCCACCTAGGGGCCCTCAGCGTTTGGACTCCGTCAAGGGCGCCGGAGGTCCCTGGGTCGCGGGGACTGAGGTCCCGCCGGCTCGGCCCGGGAGGGCTGCAGGCCGGTCGGCCGTCGCCCGCTCCTCGCCTCCGCACACGCCGACCCGCGGCGACCCGGACCGGCGAGGCTCCCGGGCGCGCCCCCGCCTGCCGGGGCCAGCTGAGGCTCGCCGCCTCTGCCCGCCTCCCGCACCCCGCACGCGAGCTTCGCGCGGCCGGCCCGGCCCTCGGCGGGCGCTCCGCCGGGGCGACCATGCGGGCGCGACCCGCGCCGGGCCCGACCTCGCCGGCACTCGGGACGCGGCCGCCCCGCATGGAACGCGCCAGGGCGGAGGCCGGCGCGGGGGCGGCGGCGGGCGGGGAGGCCGGGCGGCGGCCGAGGGCCCCGGGCGCGCTTCCGCCGGCCGCGCCGCGCACGCCGCGGTAAATGGGAGGCTCGGCCGGCGGGGGCGGGGGCCGCGCAGCCGGGGACTTTCAGGAACTGCAGGGGCGGGCGGCGGCTGGAGTCTCCGAGCGCCCAGCCGCGGGCCTGAGCAACGACACTCGGGGCCGAGGCGGAGCCGCCGCCGCGCCGGGGCCCAGCCGTCGCCGTCGCCACCGTCCTCGCGCGCCCGCCCGGCTTGGGCCGACCCGCCGCGGCGCGGGAGACGACCCGGCCGTCCCGGGCCAGGGGACCCGCCCGCCATGGCCACCAAGGTGAGGGGCGCGCGGAGCAGGCCCGGCCGGCCGCTCGGCCCACGGCGACGCGGGGAGGGTCGGGGGCGCGGGCGGCGGCGGCCCGAGGAGGCCAGGAGGGCGCTCGGCGGGACCCAAAGCCGGCCCGCGGCCCAGCCAGCCCCCTCCGGCGTGGCGGAGCGGTGAGGCGGGGGGCGGCGGGGCCGGTCGGGACCCCCGGCGGCGCGGAGCGCGACGCCGCCTCAAAGTTTGCGCCTGGGCGCGGGCGGCGGCGGGAGCGGGGCGGAAAGTTCCCGCAGCCCCGGAGCGTCTGGGAGTCGCCCGCCGCCGCCCCGGAGCCCGGCCCGCGCGGCCGGCCCCCCGCGCCCCCGCGGCTCCGCGCTTTCTGTTTTGCTGCCTTTTCGGTTTGAATGGCACTGCCAGCGCGAATCGGTACCGAGAGGGAAATGACTGTGCTTTCTGTTAGGTGCCCGCTCGAAGAAGGGCCCAGGCCCGAGTTACGCGGGGGACTTGGCTCCCGCGCGGCCGGGAGTTGTGCCTGCTCGTTCTGTGACTGCGTGTGAAGGCGGGCGCCCGGGCCGCCGGGCCGCCTTCCCCCCTTCCCCCCGCGCCGCCTTCCCCGGCGCCGCTCCCGGGGCGGTTTTCCTGCCCCAGCCGCGGAAGGGGGACCGGGCAGGCGGCGCGTCCCGGGCTGCGGCCGGCCTGCGGTGCGGGCTGGGCACGTCGTTTCTGGGAGGCCACTTTTATAAACATGAGCACCCTTTTCCATATTTGTTTTTGAAACATCTAAGCGACTTTTGGGTTGGTGAGAACCGGGTGTGTGTTGTCGGAGGGCGTTTGATGGAGACAGGAATTGTCGGTGACTGCGGAGCTTGGAGTTGGTGCCAAGGTCTGGGTCTGGTCCGCGAGTGCAGGCTGTTTAGAAAGGAGGGCTCTCGGAACCTGTTGCTTCTGTCGCCGAAATAATTACCTTGTTAATATATTTTGAGTGTGGCGTTCCTGGGTTTATTAGATTGATAGAACTTGCCAGCTTTTAAACATAATGATTTTGTGTCGACCTTTTTAATAAAAAAAAATTAACGCAAGCCAAAGATTTCAAAGGGAATTTTGATTTTGAGGTTTGTTGCCACTTACACATCCTATTTCACAGTTGTCTTGCAACCTTAAGAGTGGTTTGTGACACAGAGGTCTGGTTTGTGCTGTTTCCCACCTGCCTCTTCTGAGGCACCAGTGTGTGCTTTAGGTAGGATGCAGCTTAGCAACTTGCAGGTGCTAACTGAGTTTTATTTGATGGTGAAGTCTGAGCTTAGTTTTTTCATTAAATTAAAAAGGACACTGATTCTTGTACCCAACTTGAAATGAATATGTCCTCATTAAGCACAAGCCTCACAGCATTTCTGAGTTCTTCATACTTTTGTTATCTGTGCTACTCTGAAGCAAATTCCAGACTTCTGTTAGGATCTCAGCTTTCTAATCACGTTTCTACCTGGTGCTCAGTTTCCCTGTTTACAGAGTGACAAACCATTGCTATTTGAAGAAAAAGACCAGCAGCGAAGCATTTATCAAGAGGACACTTCCTCAAATTTGGGTTTTGTTTTGTTTGGTTTCCCTACTGTCTGGTGATTCTCTGTCAAATCAAAAGTTCTCTCTGTTCTTTGTTTCTGTACTGGGGAGTGAACCCAGGTATGTTTTACCTCTGAGCCACATCCCCATCCCTTATTTTTTGTTTTGACACAGGGCCTTGCAAAGTTGCTGAGGCTGGCATCCAACTTGTGATCCTCCTGCCTCACCCTCCGGAGTAGCTGGGATTAAGGTGTGCACCACCTCACCAGGCTGTCTAATTTTTCAATTGTTCCCAGAGAGTAAAGGTGTCACTGTTGGGTTCCTCAGCCCCTCTATAAGCACACCCTTGTCCTTCCCCACATCTGAGTAGTTTGATTTCTTTTCCTTCCTGTTCTTTATTTGGAATATTCTTAGTAACCAATGACCACTAACTTGTAATAAAAATTTCAGGCTCAAATGGCCCTTAGGCTCTTGCTATAAGTATTAAGAAGTGATGAGATATATATTCAGTATCTGAATATTTGAGGTCATGTTGGGTTTCGCTTTGAATTTACCAGAGAATGACTTCAGTTCTTTTTTTTTTTTTTAATTCTTACAGGTTGTTTGAAAGGTGCAATTATCTTCAATCATGGGTTTTAAAAATTCTTTCTATATTCACAATAGAAAATTTTCTTTTAAAAGAATTTGAATTGGATGCTGGGGTTGTGGCTTAGCGGTAGAGCGCTCACCTAGCATGTGCGAGGCGCTGGGTTCGATCCTCAGCACCACATAAAAATAAATAAAATAAAGGTATTGGGTCCAACTACAACTAAAAGAAAATTAAAATAAATAAAGTTTCTTAAAAAGAATTAGAATTGGGTCATTCGTCACTGTTGAAGACAGGTAATCAGTAACTGCACATTTTAAAAGGATTATCTGTTTTTTTGTTTCTAATCTTTCCTTGTAGAATGCTGAATTCAGTTTAAATGCATACACCACTCTGTGAAGTCCAGTCTTGTCTCATTTAGCAAATGCAGTGAAAGGCTGATAAGAATGTTTTAGTCTTGTCCTCTGTTGCAAGCCCCTGAAGTTTATATTTTGACACAGTCCTATGGTGAATTTGGGTAAATTTAAGTTTTGTTTTAAAAAGACCAAGTTGAGAAAGAATTCATTTTCTACATATATCAAAAGGGACTTAAGGAAAATAGTTGCAGTTATCCATATCTGTGTAACTTAGCTGTCATTTCCACGTCACAGTTAACCTTTGGTAACTAATTTAGGTCCTTTGTGCTTACAGAATCACTTTTAGAAGTAATCATTCTAATGAGTTTTTTTGATAAGATATTTTTTTTACCTTTATTTTATTTATGTGGTGCCAAGGATCAAACCCAGTGCCTTGCGCATGCTAAGTAAGCAAGTACTCTACCACTGAGCCCCTCTAACCAGATTCTTGAAGTTCCTGATACCTTTTTCTTCTTCCTTCCTTCCTTCTAGAAAATGCCTTTCCAGCTCCACTAACTAAAGTTACACATGTGCATCTTACAGCCCTGGTTGAATTAAGGGTGTGTGGAACCTTGAAATTCTGGTAGGAAAGGAGTGAATTCCTTAGGTGCAGGTGTGTGAGAACAGTTTTGAAAGCATATGTTGTAATTTCTCCCAAGCAGAAACCTCTTTATTTGAAGAAAAGAATAGAAGACTCTTTATAAGGGAAGTTTAAGGATATATATATATATATATATATATATATATATATATATTTTTTTTTTTTACAAATAGCATGGAAGATGCTTACTATACAGTTTTGTGTGACAGGTTTGGTTTTTTTTTTTAAACTCTTTTTTAAATTTCAGTGTGCTAGGAATTGAACCTAGGGCCTAGCACATGCTCGGCAAGCACTGTACCACTGAGATACATTCCCAACCCTTTCTAAAATTTTTAATTAATTTATTTAGAAGAGTCTTGCTAAACTGCCGAGAATGGTCTTTGACTGTTAGTGCCTTGACTTTTCTTATCACTGTTCCACCTGGTGCTCATTTCATGTTTATAGAGTGGCAAATCATTGCCATGTGAAGAAAAAGACTAGCTCCACTAAGTAAGTTACACGTATGCAGACACAAACTACCACATAGCTGCCAGCAGTAGCTGGAATTACAGGCACCCTGCCCAGTTTAACAATAATTTTAAAAAAATGTCTTAAATAGAATGTTTAGCATTTATATAGAGAAAAATTTGTATAGAGAAATTCTGAGACAATGAAATTTTTTCTTAATAAAGAATAGAAGACATAATTTTTTAAAAATTAGAGCTATATATTAAACTTATTTGGGCTCATCCTGACAAACTCATCTATGCATGGAATTTGATTTCAGTTCACGGTTCCCCACTTCAGAAAGCATGCACTTTTTAACTGCACCATTTTTATATTAAGCATATAAATTACACTTTGCCTTTGAGTGCTCCCTCGTAACTCTATAGCTTTGCATGCACACTTCCTTTCTGGTCTGAACTGCTGTTTTCTGCCGTCTTCTAGGTACCCCTTCTTACACATTAGCCCAAGGTACCACTTCCTTGGGAAAGTCTTTCCTGATGTCCCCACCCCAATTACAGGGTCATCTGGCCAGGCTGTTAGTTACATTTGTTTCTGTGGCTACTGGCTGCCTCCTTCGGGATGCATTCAGCCCCAGGAGGCTGGGACTGTGTTTGCTCACCTTTGTGTCCTCAGGGACCTGTTTGAAAGAGCAAAAAGAGATTCCAGCGAGATAATGACTCATATACTAATGATAAAAGAACTTTAATCTCCAGCTGTAGGTTTTGGTTCTTTTAATTGTGTGTTTCAGTGAAAATTTTTTAAGTATACATGCCCAATGCAAAATTCACCTGCAGCGGAATGTATTTTAAAATATAAATAATTTAGCCTTACTAATGATTACATGAGAAATTATGTTTCAAGGTGTTTGAAACTAGCCTCACACTTCTGAGAATTTAAGAAGGTTGTTTTTAACTCCTGAGTGTCAGGAGTGTGCTTAGTTTTCAAAAGTTTAGGAGTTTTTTTTTTGTTTTTTTTAATTTTTTTTTTAGTTGTAGATGAACATAATACCTTTATTCTATTTGATTATTATTATTTTTTTAATATGGTGCTAGGGATTGAACCCCGGGCCTCACACTTGCTGGGCAGGCGCTCTACCACTGAGCCACATCCCTGGCCTGGGTTTTTTGCTTTTTTGTTGAGATTTCTGACTTGATTGCATTGTGATCAGGGAATCTGATTAATAATCACTACCATATTTTGAATTTTATTGAGGCTGACCTTATACCTAGCAAACAGTTTTCATAAATGTTCTTCATGTGCATGGAAAGAATATGTGTATTCTCAAATCATGTGTTTGCAGTCAGTATATTTCCAGTAGACTGAACTTATTAGGTGCTTTTCCCATTTTCATCCTATTAATCTATTTTCTCTACTTGATCT